CGTGCCAAAGGGATTGGCGCATGTCTATATATTCAGCGGGAGATTGAGTTGTTACCTTTAGCGTATGCATCGCATGCTTTTACTAAACAGGAGAGCAGATGGCCCGTAAGGGAACTGGAAGCTTTTGCAGTTGTGTGGGCGCTCCGTCATTTTCGTGAACTGCTGCTTGGACGATCACTTACTATAAGAACCGACCATGAATCTCTCCAATGGATGAAGCACTGTGAGAAGGGCCGAATCGCCCGGTGGAATTCGACGTTGGACGAATTTGAGGCAAGAATAATTTACAGAAAAGGATCGGATAATCAGGTGGCTGATTATCTCAGCCGATCGGCTAACTCCGACGTTATCTCTGATGTAGTGGAGGAATTGTCACATCCGTATATTGCTCTCCCCACTGGTACGCGAATCCATCGTTACAGCAGCCTGGACTTTGAGAGAATTAGGGAAGGATCAAAGGAGGATCGGGAAGCCGCGGAACTAATTGAAAAAAACATACTGGACAGAAGACAAGGATGTTATTGGGAAGGGAGACGTTGTTTTGTCCCCTATGATCTGCGACAAGTCACACTGTCGGATTTCCACAGCCCTCATGGTCTTCACCTATTCTATGCAGACGATGGCTCACTGTCTTCGGGATTCCCGAAAGAATCATTAGTGACAATGGCCTTCAGTTCACAAGCAATCTTTCACGCCAAAAATCCGTGTGAAAGAGCCACGCCAATCATTGGGAAAATGCACCCTATCATCCAATTGCGAGAGCCCGTGTGGAGACTATCAACCGATACTTAAACCGTTACTTTAGAAACCCTGAAGGACTTGGTGCAACTTGGATAGACGATTTAAGGTTGTACGTGCAAGCGTACAACTACACATACCACAAAACGCTAGGTGCGTCACCCGCAGAAGTCCTCTTTGCGAAACCGGTGGAGGAACCCAGCATTACAATCGAGCTGTTAGAAGACTTGCGGGAAAGAAAGGAACGTGGGGCATTGATACGGCAGCGAGCGGCAGATCACGCGCGACAGGTCCAGGACGAATTGGATAGCAAATTGAAGCATGTTCATGTAGAACCGAAAATTGGTATGATGGCTTGCGCTAGGTTGACTCCAAAATGGACACACCTTATACGGAACCTTTACCAATCGTGTCCGTGGATGCTGAACGGAGTATGGTTACCCTCTCCTACCAAGGAAAGGAAATACACCGTTCCTTCAAGCAGATACACATATTGCCCGCGGTCGATGTAAACGCTATCGTGAGAGAGGAATCTCATAGAGAAGGAATGACGGATGAAGAACCTGCTCAGATCACGGATTCACAATGGACAGCACTACGACGCAGCGATTCAAATACACCGGAGGTAAGTGAAACACGGGTTGAGCACAAACACGAGCACACGAGCATACATGAGATGGGGGCTCGGAGAAAGAACCGAACCGAAGTCGAGTGCGATTACCGAACTGATTCGGATAATGACCGGGATGAGCCGGGCTCGACACAACGAATCAGTGAAGACCATGACGCTCTGTTCGAGGGTAATAAACGATGGGTCCGGCTTCGCAGCACAACGCCACCAAGGTTAGCTAAATTGAGAACGCCTCCTTCACTTAACCGGCCCCACAAACGCAAAAGAGATGTACTGGTGGTATCTAAATTTGAAGGGTGGCATGATGTGGAACATGCTATGCGAAATGTGTGCGCACACACTTTTTAGACAATAACTAATCTTTAACAGCGCATCACTTCACACTACGATCCTCTCGCCCTGCATAACCGCAAGATCTTTTCTATCCTCTCTAGCATCCCGGCTTCGTCGTCCATCGCTACGACAATATCGTCAATGTAATAGAGCGTGCTACTGTCCAGCACCTCCTTGAAAGGCGCGTCCATCGCGCGCTAAAATCGGCCGGTGAGTTCTTGATCCTCGGAGATATCGCATTAAAATCTCACGACATGTCAAGCGTGCAGTAAATACGATGGCCCGCCGCAGCAGGTCGCGAAGCTACTGGAGCTAGGAGTCATCCGACTCTTCAAGAGCGAGTGGGCTGCCGCTCCTCACTTCATAAAGAAGAAGACCGGGGAATGGAGGTCCGTCATGGTCGCGGATTCCTACCCCGTTCCACGCACCTGGGACCACCTGCGACGGGCGGCCGGACAGAGATACCACTGCTGCACGCTAGACATGAACTCAGGGTTCTGGAACGTGCCAATCAAGGAGGGGTGCAAGGCGCTCACCGCCTTTATAACTCCGATTGGCCTTTTCGAGTCCATCCGGCATAAAAACTCGCCCGCTGAGTTCCAACGCTCAATCGATTCCTGCTTCGCACCGCTGCTAGGAGAAAATGCGTTCTGCTACATTGACGACATCGTCATTTGTGGACAGGACTTCGACAGCGCACCGCAGCGGGTTAAGCTCTTACTGGAACAGTGCAGGAAGACCGGTTTCTACTTGCGCCTGGACAAGAGCGAATGGTTCAAGGACGAAGTAAAGTACCTCGGGCACGTCGTCGGCCAGACGGGCATAAAGGTCCAGGAGAAGAATCCTCGAGCAATCGTCAACGCACAGCCCCCAACAGGAAGAAGGAGCTACAAAGCTTCCTAGGGATGTGCGGCTACCTGAGACCCTTCATCCCCGAGTTCTCACACATCACGGCGCCGTTATTCGACCTGCTGAAGAAGGACAAGACCTACGAGCGGCGAGACGTGCACGAGAACGGCTACGACCAGCTCCGACACGCCGTCCAGAACACCGTCACGCTGCATGCCCCCACCGACAATGGCAAGTACATCGTAGAGACCGACTCGTCCGAGTTAGTGGTCGGGGTTGTACTCAAATAGGTGTAAGGAAACGCCGCAGTACCCATCGAGTTTGCCAGCAAGAAGTTCAACCGCACGGAGTCGCGCTGGGACACGAGAGAACGGGAATTGTTCGCGGTCAAACGGGCCATCGAGAAGTGGCGAGACTACGTCAGCTTCTCG